AACACCATATTCAGTGGCTTTTAAGAAGCAAATGTGCCATGTTTTCATTTTAACTGGTACATTCTGCCCTTATCAGATGAGTTCCACAAGAAATAACACCCACCTCTCTTCACAACTGTTTTCTAAATTAAAAAAAACCCCACTACTTAAAAGAAGGTGATCTTTACATACAGGAATCCTGGTTCCCCTAAAACCACTGGTGATACCAAAACAAATAAATACAGTAATGAGTTCAAAAGAAAAATGTCCATATGAAAATATATTACAAAATATCAGGAGATTTATGTCTTTGTGTGTGTAGCACCACTAAAGCTCTTGAAACAAAGCATTTACTATCATAAAGCAAGACTACAGACACTGCACAGCTTGTAGAAATTACCGAGTGCCTGTCACATGGTCTGCTTTCTGCAGATCAGACCCTAAAAAAGTTGAGTTCAACACTCACCACACTTCATTTGCAGGGCAAATGCTGCTGGTTTCTCAGGTGCACAAAACGGCCTCTCTTCTGCTCAGAACAGTATTAGAAATTCAGGGGTTTTTGCAGGTTTGTATGAATGTCAGATGTAGACGCCACTCTGACCACATTTTTGGGTCTCTGAAGAGAACAGAGCCACCAAAAATCCTGCGAGCAGCTGGAGCAGATCATTGCCTGCTCACAGAGCAAGGCAGAGAGGCCACAAACACCCTCCTGCCTGTGCTGGGTAGGTGTTAATGGCACACTTGTGCCCAGGTTGGTCTGAAAAGTGATAAAAATGCTCATTCTGAAAGCTGGGCTTTCAAGATAACTGTGACAAAGGGTGCATTTTAATGAGCAGAAGAATGTGTCTTCTCAACGTTTATCACCCAATACAGGATGAAAAACCCTTTCTGCCAGGGAGACCCGACTCACTAGGTGAGCTCTGGCACCAAAGGCCACCAGCTCGGGCACAGAGGTTTAAAGAAAGGTCCTGCTGGGGCAGGATGGGCTTTGGCAGCTGTGTCCAGAGGAGCAGGGAAGGAAGATCCTCTAAAGGAGCTGTCCTGTGCAGCAGCAGCACCACCAGAAACCATCAGCTGGTTTGAGACCAGAGTTTTTCAGGTGGGAATGACTTCCTCCTCCAGCAGTAAAAACATGAAGGAAAAATCCTTCTTGCCAGAAGAGTTGCTGAAATCCTTGAAGGCCTCTCCAGCCTTTTGCTATCTTCACAGGTTCTCCCAACAGAACACCTGGGGTATCTGTCACACCACCTCAGAAATTGAGCACTTGGAGAAGTAACACATGCTGAGCAAATAAACTAATCCCTGTTTACTAATCTGTCAGGAGATAGCATGTAGTACGTGCTTCCAGATCCCAGCAGATAAACATGACAGCAGGAATACATTTGTTATTCTAATTCCTTAGCCCTACAACAAAACAAATATCTTTTCCTGTCCTTTCTTCAAACAATCCCACCTGATCAGTCCAGGAATTTGCTGCGTAGCCCTCATTCCCACAAGCAATGTTTCTGCAAAGCTCGAGCCCTTTTCCATGTAAAACTTGCTCTGTCTCATGGATACAATAGCTAATTTTGGACTTACCCTGCTCCTGCTGGGCCAGAGTCATCACTGGCATGGCTCCACTGTAATTCAGTCTACTGATGCATTACGGACAATGCACAACATGAGCTAATCCTTAATGATGCTTTTCCCCCCTTTCCCCCCTCCCCAGCATATCATTTGAGTAAATAGTAAAATGACATACGTAAAAATTATTAAATGAAAAAAACAAACAGCAAACGAAAACCACGCTAAAATCGTCTTGCAAACACTAATTTCAGATGACACAGTAATCAGATTCACAGATACATTAGGACAAGCAGTGCAGCCCAGAGGAAAAGGCACAGCTCTTAAAGTCACAAGGCCTGGTCAGAGCTGCAGCTCTGCACTGACTTCAGGGATTGTTCCATGCTCCCACCCCATTCCCCAACCTCTGACACACAGATGTTAACATCTCAGCACAGAAAAACCTAACCACGGGCATTTCTAAACAATAAAAAAGCAGATATGAAGTTGTGTTTAAAAATTAATGCCAAGGTATAAGGGGCTCCCACCAAAACAGGCTGATGCCTCCCCCATACCAAGGTTTAAGATCTGTAGGATCCAGGTTCAGTGTCATAAATTAACACGAAATGTTTTAATTTCTGCACAGATTTTCTTTAACAGATGAGGAACAGTCAGGACAATCTCTGAAGGTGAGTCTGCATGACTTGCGACATATGTTTGCGTTGTTATTTATTTTCAAACTTTACCTTTTTTCTTTTAATAAAGCATTGTGTTTGGCCCAACACTTTTCTTCCTTTAAATCATAAAATATCAAATCCTTCCTTATCTAAACCACTCTGTTAGGAGTCACAGAAGTTCCACGGGCCTTCATGCTCTGCTCCCTAACGGGTCAGCATCAGCCAGACACAATACCCAGGTCACAGCAGCAGGGCTGCTCCAGAAATTTTCTTCTTTTGAAATGGTAAATATTACAGAGAAGTGCTTTAAATGGTAAATATTTCAGGGAATTATCTACGTGGAAAGCACGCTGCTTACCAAGAACTTGAAAAATATAGTTTTTAAGGCATTTGTATTGCGTGGTGGCTCTACAGGTTTTGATTTCTGCTTCAAGTAGAAGCCGGAGCAACTCTAACAAAGGCTGAGAGCTCTCATTTGCATTACCGGCCAAAATCTTGGCCAAAGTCATTCAGCACCAAAAAAGATAAGGAGGCTTTATTTTTCCTTTTAAAAAAACACTGCAGTTGTTGGAAGAAAATTTCAGGAGCTCCAAACATCCACATTTCTAAGCTACTTGCTTCACTTTTTCATGCAACAGATGCTGCTTTGTATCAGCTCCTGCATATTAAATCATTCTGACAAGCAAGAAAGCATACATTTGTTTGTGCCAGAGAGAAGCATGAATACACACACACACACAGATATCTTCTCACGCAGAAGCACACAATTATGCAGCATTCAAATATTTGGGATGAACTTTGGCCTTTGCTTAAAAAAAAAAAAATACTCTCAAACACAATCAGGAACAGACCCAGCAGTCATCTGGCTGAGCTCACAGAATTCAACAATCTGCAGCAATAAAACACCACTTGTGGGCAGCCATTTGAAAGTTACTTGGAAAATTGTTCTTAGATGGGATAGTTTTATACACGTCTTTTATGATTTATGATGGCCCTGTGGATCGAGTTCGGAATGGAGACTGAAAATAAAATCTATGTTCATTCAAAAAATGGAAGAAAAAAAATCAATTATATTCACCCTGACATGTGTGGGGCTTTTTTTGTTGTTTTTTTTTTTTGCACTCCAAACGACCTCCTTCAGCTCTGCCATTTGCATTCCCGATTTAAAAAGTAACTCGAAAACATCAGCAGAGCAGGGCTCTAAATGACCCCTTCGGAGGAGTAAGGAAGAGGCCAAACAACCCAAACAAAACCGTTTTCCTAACGCGCTAATCACAAGAAAATCTAAATGCAACAGCACTTGAGAACACGCTGAAACTTCTGACAATGCGAGTGGAACTGCTCCGCAGCGCTTCCAACTTTGTTTTTTTTTTTTTTTTTTTCTTTTTTATGATCTCGGCTCGAGGCATATTTTCCCCACTACGTTTTCTCTCTCGTTACTACAGAGTAATTCAGTTCTGCAGGCAGAACGGGGTTTTTCTTAGCTCGGTAAGGAGCAGGCAGAGAGGACCGACACCGCGCCGAGCCCTGCCCGGCCGTGCCGGGGCCCGGGGTCCCGGCGGGTCCCTCGGGGTCCCTGCGGGTCCCTGGGGGTCCCTGGGGGTCCCTGGGGGTCCCTGGGGGTCCCTGCGGGTCCCTCGGGGTCCCGGCGGGTCCCTCGGGGTCCCTCGGGGTCCCTGCGGGTCCCGCACGCCCCTCGAGCCGCGCCCCCCGCACCCATACCTGGGGATGGTGATGCACTTGGTGTTGATGTTCTGCGTGGTGATCGCCTTCTCCAGCTCGTCCAGCTGCCCCGTCTTCTTCAGCTTCTTCACCAGGCTCTTCACCGCCTTCTCGCACCATTTCTCCTCCTGCCCGTTCTGCTCGCCTTTCTTCCAGCCCAGGAGCCGCTTGACGATGGGAGGAGTGAAGGGCAGGATGGAGGACATGCTGGCTGTGCCGGCAGCGCCCGCCGCCGGCTCCGCGCTCTGCCCGCCGCCGGCTCCGCCGCCTCACACCCGCGGCCCGGCCCGGCCCCGCCGCTGCCTCAGCGCCGCGGGCCCGCGGCTCCAAACTTTGCCCGGAGTTCGCCGCCTCTCCCCGGCGGCGGCGGCGGCGGCGGCGGCAGCTCCCTCCTCCTCCCCCTCCTGCCCCGCTCTGTGTGCGCGGAGAGGCGCCCACTCCAGCTCATTCCCAGTCTGTCTCTCATGCAAATTGCCTGCTGGCCGCCCCGGCCCGGCTTCCACCCCCTCCTTCCCTCCCTCCCTCCCTCCCTCGGCGGCGTGTTTGGGAGGGAAGGAGGGCGGGAGGCTGCGCGCCTCCATCGCCGCCCGCGGAGGCCCCGGCTCCCTGAGGGGGACCGCGCTCCAGAAAAGCCCGGCAGCACGGCAGGGAGAGGTGCCCGGACAAACCCCACCGGAAAAGAAACACAGGCTTAAAGCCCCACAAGTGTAAAGCCCCACAAGTGTAAAGCCCGCTCAGGGAGGGGAAGGGGACAAGAGGCTCCACAGCGTGGCTGCAGCCCCTGCCACGGGCATTTCATCCGTGGAATCTGTTCCCACACAGATACCTGAGCACCGCTCGGCCAGCCGTGCTCAGACAATCAGCTGCTTTTTGTTCCAACTCCTTTAATTTAATATTCCATTCCCTCATCTTTCCACCCCGAGCAACAGGTACCCGGATAATTTTTGCCCTGTATCAGACAAAAAGGACACCCTGGAGGTGTTTACCGCTGGAGCTGGTCAGAAATTCTCAGACGGAATATTTTTGTCAGAGGACGGCAATTTGTTCACATCTAGGTGTTTTGTAGAGATGCTTCGGTTTGGGCTGACTCAGGGTGGCATCCAGGTACATTTCCAGTTTCGAACTTTCCATCACTGAGCAGACTGGGTTGTCACACTCCCCGGTCTCAAGAAGCCCAGGTTCTAAAAAAACATATAATTATAAACTTTAGCTCCTCAAAGCAGCAGTTCTCTGTTAAACCACCCCAAAATGGTGCTGAGTGAGGAGCCTCAGAGGCACCTGCAGAGTCACCAGGTGCTTCCAACCAGGCTGGTTCCTTTTCTCAACTCCAGCTGCATCTCATCTCCCTGCAACAGCTGCCCAGGAGCAACAGGGTGAAAGTTTTGTGGGACTTGGCTCCCGAATTTGGAATTTTCAAGCTGAGCTATGCTTCCCAGTTCTCTCCGTCCTATCAGAAGGGACGGTGGTGAGCCCGAATTTGGGAAGCCCGTGGGGCTGCTCGGCTGCTCCCAGACACGCAGGGTCTTGCCAACCCACGTTCTCATATTCCAGGATCCAGAGTAACCCAGTGGGGAGACTCCTCGAAAGCTGGCATCCCAAACCCCTGTGCCTGTGGATTCGGAGCAGCCAGCCATCCAGATTGCCTCGTGGCAACTCAGGAACCGATGGCATCACACAGCATCTGAGGCAACTGCCTTGCCTTTCACAGGCACTTCAAACAGAGGCTTTATTCCAAATTTACAGTACCAATTTTTGAAATATTAATATTGGCTACAAATTAAATATGCCCTTATCTTTTTTTTTTTTTCCCCTTCAGCATTCTCATATTATTCCCCAACATGCATTCCCTGAGTGTCTTGAATTTTGGAGGCTCACCACTAAAATTTTGGACTGTTGCCCTGACCCAGTTTTTGGCTGCTTTGGTTGAAGTACAAAGATGTGGAACCCCTGCAGATTATCCCAACATCATTTGAGGAAATATCTCCTGACTACCTCTAAAGCACTGCAAAAAAATTACTATTTACACTAAAAGCAGGATGCCTCAATTACTAACTTGCTAGCACTGTTGACTTTCTGTATGTTTGTGTTTTTCTGAAAAGGCCAAGTTTCTGATAGTTTGTGATTATTTAAAGGTCTGAATTTTTATTTAAAAGTTGTTCACAACTTTAGAATGTGGCTTGAATATGTGGACCAAGTGAAACACAGATGGGGAAGTTAAATACATTTTTTAAATGCAGAAATACATTCTTACTACATTTTGAAATGGGGTGAAGTTAAATAATCTTTTTCTATTTTCTCAATTCTTGGCCCAGCACATTTTGCAAGCCCAGAGGCCGAAGGACCTGCCTCAGACCTGGTAAGTCCATATTACATCAGGGTGATCTCAGAGCAGATTTCTCTTCTGAGGACCAACATTTCTTTCTGGCTCTTTTGGATAGAAAACCACAGGCACTATTCCATGCTTTCTTCATCCAGAAAGATATGATAATACTCAAATCTCATCACTACACTCAGAATTCATGCTGTGACCTCGGTTCAGCAGAGCTTCTAGAATTTTCTGTCCATGTTCAAGGTCTGATCTTCACTCCTCACAGTCATATCACAAGTCATGGTCTGGGTACATTTGAATAAGGGGAAGGAGAGGAAGAGCTGAGTGGTTTGCTCGTGCTTGTAGAGTGATTTAGTGGCAAAAGGGTGAAGATAATTTGCTAAACACTAAACCAAACTGTGTCTCTCTTGCTTACAACCTCTAAATGAGGTGTAGGCAGCTCAACCACTGATCTAAACTCTGGGCCACAGCAGCACTGAAAACACTCCTGAGAACAAACAAACAGTTGGGCTTGGGATGTGGGATACATTTTTAAACTTAAGGCCATGACATTTAATGGAACAGCTTGTGTGCTTGCTGGGGTTACCTGTCAGAATGAACTGTTCTATGAAAATATGACTTTCTGAACCCCTAGACAGTAATCCTTTATTTCAGAGAGTTTTGGACACTCTCATAGTGGAAAAATTAACAGGAAAAGCAGGACCGTCCCAATTCTGCGTGGTCTGGATCCGACTGCTGGTTTACAAAATGTCTGAGGTCTTGGAAGCCACCACTAAGCAGGAGAAGTTTATGCTTCTTTTTGTGATTGTGCTCATTTTTTGTGGAACAATTTGTTCTTTACTTTTAAACAGTCATTATCTTTGCCTGTGTTTGGAATTCTAGAGGTTCAGGGCCACAGTTTGCTCTCACTGAGAAATAAAGATATATGTAGTCTGCAATAATGTGAGGAAACCAAACACTTCAAGAAAAAAACCCAAACCCTTTACAGCTATTTTGCATTTCTTAACCTTTTAGACTAGAACCTTAAAAATATTGAAAAATAATATCTGCATACCTTGGGTTTTGATATGATTAATGAATAGGACCAGGATTAAAATTCTCCTTTCACAAAGATAAAAATCAGCTCTGCTTTAGGAACAATATAAAATTAGCATGAGAAACAAGAAGGTGTTCACTGGAGCTCAGCTGTGCATATATGTACCTTTATCAAAAATATTTTTAACGGCTTCAGAGACTGAAGAATTGTTCTGTGCTTTGCTCCATGTTCCCTCTATATCCTTTGAGTAGTGAGAAGGGATTTTTGGGGCGAGCAGGAAGGTGTTCAGGGCGAGCTGGAACAGGCAGGATGGAGGCAGCGTGGCCAGAGCACGCTGTTCCCTGCCTGGGCTCGGGCTCTGAGGGATCCTGGTGCCTGCTCCAACAGCTCCCAGCGTGCCACTGTGGCTGGGTTGAAAATCAGGGAGTGGTTGAGAAGCAGCTTCTGAGGTGCTGCCCCCGTTTCTACCTCACTGGCTGAAATATTAAATGTATTTCCTACCTGTACGTGGAATTTTACAATTCCCAGGTGGACAAGCTGGGAAGCTCATAGCAGACAGGATGGTGGCCTCGACTCTTCTTGTCCAGTGTTCTCCATGAAGGGTGAGATGGGCAGCACTGAAAATGAGGAATTTTAAATTGGGTTATCTTCTTTGCTTACCTTGTAAATAAGGGCTGTGGCATTTAACTCGGAACCTATGTCATGTATAATGTGCATAAACAAGGGAAAGTGTGGGAGCTTTCCCTGGTGAAGGTAACATATATATATATCTATATGTGTAGAACAGCATTTATATGCAAGCAAACCTCTCTTAATCACTCAGAACAAACCCACAGGAAAATAACTTCTGGCGTGAGTCATGAAAAAGCGAGGCCTTTGTAAGTTAATGTGTTCAGCAGTAATGTCAGCTCTGTGAAATACACAGCTCAGTCAAATCCTTACAGGGTACCACAGCTATTCTCCTCTGCAGATGAGAAAACACGCACGCACAATGAAAAGTTGTTTTGTTGGAAATTCCTGATGCTTCATACACACAAGCCAATTCACCTGCGTGTTCCAAGAGACTCAGTGGTGCAAAAATCACACAACCACTTCTAGTCAAGCCAGAATCCTTTCTGTTACCACGGCAGCACCTCTTGCCTAAGGGAAAAATACAAGGCAGCAGCACGTCCAGAGTGATCCTTCTAAAACACTCTCCCAATTCCTGGCAGTTATTTGTGTAGGCGCTCCTGAACTGGAGCTGACCTCCCTGGAGAGCCATGGACAGGCCATTCCTGCACTTCAAAACCTCTCTGCTTCTGATTTACACCTCTGAGTAGCCTTCCCCAGATCCCCATGGCCCATCTGGGGCACAGGACAGAGATAATATGAAGAAGAACTAAAATTCTCCATTGCAAATGATTCCTTCGTTGTTTCCTTTATGAACCGTACGGGTCTCGGCAAAGAGAGAAAGGGTGGTGCTGAGGCTGGGGCAGGTGAGTGATCTCCCAGGAAATGTGAATGTTCCCCTGTGTGTCACAGCGAGATGTGAGGCACCGG